CTCGTCGCCACACGCACAGAATGTCACCAGCTAAACATCGCGAGAAACTCGACAGCACCGGGTCCTCGAGGGGCGTGCCGCCGAAGCCACCGGCCACCTCGCCCCACACGAGTTTCCTCCATTTAATGCCGCAGAGGGATGTCTGTCAAACAATAGCGACGATTAGTGATTAAAGGGTTAATCGGTGGTGAGGCGGGATATCTCGTTAGGGATTTGCGAGGGTCATGATTTTCATCGGAAATTGGAGCACGCGTTCTGCCCGGGGAGTCCCCCTCATGAACACACGCGGGATTTGCGCGATAACGCTGTAATAAAAAAAAAATAAATAAAAGCAGAACCGTGACTGGCGAATTCGCAGTAACACACATGTTTGTTTTTCCGATATCGAAAATAGGGGTTTTCCATTTAGAAATTCCTGCTTTGCAGTCATGCGTCATATGCGTGTAATCGCGACAAGCAGCTTTGGGATTCCGACGTTGATTTGTCCTTGTTTTAAAAAAAAAAATGTCTAAAATCTTGCCTATAAATTATTCGTTTGATAAATTAAACAAATAATTTGTAGATAAAAATGCAAAGATTACATTTATTACAAATTTATTTCAAAGATTCTTTTTTTTTTATACAGTATTTATTACATTCAGAGTTTTTTTTTTATACAGTAGTCTTGAACGCATAAATACAACTGTACATCTAGTAATAACGAAAAAAAAAGTGAGTGATATCAAACGGGATTGCTCGGATCTAACGGCTGTTAAAAATCATCAACCGTTCCGTTAGTTCACCGTTGCCGTTTAATTCGTGATAATGAGATATCTAGTTTTCTAGATCTCTTGCAGTAGTCGATCAGATTTGCCAGCAAAATATCAACAACAAGCAGCCATAACAAACATCCGATGAAAATGCCGAACGTAAAAATCTACGCGCTCTTACCGAACAAAAGATAACATTGGCCGTGAACGAACGGTCGGCGGCAATAACGTCTTCGCGAACGGAGACGTTAAATCGCAAGGTAATAAATTATCCTTTGAGCGCGGCGAAACGTGCATTACCCAGTAAAATAGACATATACAGCGAGCGCGGCATGCGGCTCGCCGAGAAAGCGACATCGGGTCGGTCCTTGACCTTACGGCACAGTGTCTCTATTTGTCACGCGACGTGACAAGCCGCTAATTTATTCAAACGCATATTATCGCATACAATCGTACCGTGGAACGTTTTCAACAAAACAGGCATGCGCAACCGACTCGCTAATCGCTCGATTGATTAATTGCATTTCGACCATTCCTGCCTGAGACGCATTACTTCCGATTCATCGGTCCATTTTGAATCAGGACTAATGCTCGTTTTCACTAACGATAGTTTAACTTTAATCTTGGTTCAATTAATTCCTTATCTTGTTCTAGTTATAAGAATTAGAAAAAGGTGAAGCGTAAGTTAAACCGAGATTAAATTTAATCTATATTGATAGAGAGAAATGGGTATAAATCTGGATATATAGGCTCACTGAGAAAAATGATTGTATCGACAAGAAGTATAAACAAAATAATTCTGATAACATAAATCGGAATTCTGATTATCGTAATTAAAATTCTGACTATCTCGAGTAAAATATTTAATCATCCAGTTAATATAACAAAATTATAGGATTATGTAATATGACCGTTTCATGTCCTTAGTTCCTCATTGGATTTAAATGTATAAACCAATCATTTATTAAATAGCAAATTCGATTGGACGCACTCAACGCGCACTGGTGCACATTAAAGCCGTCGTACACGAAATAACGTAAAGATATGTTTATAAATAAACATAGAGATCGATTAAATCGTGAAATACTTAATACATTTTATTGTACTATTAGGTAAAATATGTATTTCATAATTCGAAATATTTGCATTTCATTTTTATACTTAAATTAAATTAGTGTACAACGGCTTTAATACGCACTAGTTCTTCCAATCGAATCCGCCAAAAGTCTCACAACAGTTGGAATTTTTTTGATAAACTTTTTTTGATAAACGCCATTTTAATATTCTACTAAATCATCCAACTTTGATCGATGCATCATGATAACAGTAGGAAAAAAATCTCTATGAAGATTTTTTTATATATTTCGAAATTACAGCAATCGAGATAAGGTTATTAATTACTACTTGATGACAGATAATTCATTTCTTTCCTCGTCATGGACGTTTGATATCTGAGATTCTATACTTCATCGCGTGTATTTTCTAATATCAAACAGGCTTTTCGGAATTTAGAAATTTCTGTATATCGCACGACCGCGCAAAACAACTTTCTCTCCGACCTTGCTTTTGTATCTCGAGCTTCGACTCCATTCGCGTCTTCTTCTAAGACTAAGAAATATCTATTGAAATTTTAATCTTGTAAAAGTCCGTTTTTCTTCTTGACACATATCGATGTTTCATTTTTAATATAGCTACGTCTTGAAATATATTAAAGCAAACCGAAATATATGAAGTTATCGATGCTTATTAACTACACGTCATGATTCAATATTAGAGAGCTCCTCTCCTCTCTTCCTATTTTTTCTGTTAACATTAGAAGTCATTATTACTCATTTAAATTTTTTAGATTAATATAATATTTTTTGTGTGTAAAAGATTCTAAAATGCTTTGACTTTTCGATAATTATATTCTTTTTATATTGAATATTTGATTTTTCATCATTTTTTTTATCTTCATGGTGATTTAGTCGCTTGGTCTTTTTAGTGAGTAAGAAACGTAAGTGTACTTTTAGTGATAATTACTGATAAAAAAAAATAGAACAAAGAAGCATAGAATTGTCAACGAACGCTAAGATTTTTTTAGACCAAAAGTAACGAGCGTACGGCATCGACCGCGTCGCGTAAGGTCAACGTCAAAGCCGTCAAGATCTCGCGCGCGGCCCTCGCCCGTATCCGCTCGTTGCATTGACGGAAAATGTCCTATCTGCGTTAACGAGAGGGAGTCCATTCACCCCGGATTTGGTATCTTCATCGCACCTGATTCCGCGCGCGCTTCCCAGCCGCGCCGCGTCGCGCCGCCCGCGCCGTCCCTCGACGATTAGGGACGGGATGTCCCGCCGCGCGGTCAACGACGAGTCATCGACGCGCGCGTCACGGGAGTCGATCGTACCGAACGCGTGCGCGGCGCACTTCACGCCGTCTCGCTCCGAAGTGTGTGCGTGCGCGCGCGCACACTCATGAACTCTGATTGACAACGCAACGAGCGACGCGCGCGTATAAACAATGCGCGCTTAAGCTCACTTTAAGCGATGATTTACGTCAGACTTCAAGGAAGATTTCTATTTGCTCTGTCCATTTATTTTTCATTTTTATTAAACTATTTCTATTTATTTCAAACTTTGGAGAAATATTTCATCTATTCTGTTTATTTATTTTTCTCTAATAATTAAAAAATTGTATTTTTATAATTTTTCTCGCGATATATTCTGATACGCTTCTAGTTTCATATGTATTTAATACGAATGTGTATTCTGATCCTTCAAATGTTTGTACGAATGTCCGTAGGAACGGGATGGAAGCGTGTTGAAAATTCCTGGTCGTTGTTTATTGCTGACGCGAAAATTCTTCAAATCGTGCGTACGATTGACGCTGATTATTGGATGAAAATTGTCGAGAATCTTCTCGTTTTGTTGAAATTATTCACGATACATATAATAGTATGTTAGCTGCCAGTATGCAGCATGCGAGAATTGCTAACTGCGCCTTCGCGTCTAACCAGTAGACATTCCAGAGGATGATGGCAGATACCGTGTGACGCCATTGCCGATGCATTTGGGGGGGAGGGAGGGGGCTCCGGCAACTTTGAGGGGAGCCATGAGAACGGCGCACGCGCGCACAGTCGCGTAGTGGGCGCGCGACCATCGTCCAATCGGCGCCGGGCGTCTCCTTACGTCAGAGAACCAGCTGACATAATCAGAACGATTCAAATGTGTATACAACCACCGCGCAGGCAGGTAATAAGATCTTGGCGCCTTCGGGGATCTCGCGATCGCGCGAATTACAGTATGTCAGAAGGGTCTGAAGTTGGCCGCGCCGAGATTCGGATAAAATAAAATCCGCTTCGCCTATAGTATTCCCTCTAATATACAAGATAAAATAGTTTCCTTCACGAAATTTACTTTAAGATGTAATCTTTTTATTCGTTTTCAAACGCAACAATTCGATCTTTTTTCAATTAGCTTATATAATAGAATAATCGGCAACAAATGAGTCTTTATTGTTCTTAATTTTGAAAGCCAGTTTTAAAAAGGTTACTTTTTTTTAGAAAGGCATATCTGGATAAGCGTGTACATATCGATTTCTTTCCAAACCGAAGGGATGTCAGCGCTCTCTGCATTGACCCGGTCATGTATTTTCGCCATAGCGGCGGATGGCAAGTTTCGTTGAAACGCTGCAACCGATCGATAGGAAATTGTCCCCAAAGATCGAGGGCATCGCCTTCCAGGATATGGTGGCGCTTACTCAGTGACCGGGTCAGGATTCGTTATCGACTGATGCGAGATATCTCTCACGGCATCATATCCCTGCATCTCTGTCCCTCTTGAAATCTAGAGTGGTAACGAACGAGTCGTCGAATCCGGAACGGATTCGAGGATTGGAGCGGAATTTTCAAGATTCCGAGACGAGAATCTCGGCGACACGACAATTCCATGCTACATGACTATCTCGTTTCCTCGCAAGAGAGAAGCTTCATCTCTTTCTCGAGAGTGCGTGGTACGCGGCGGTCGAGTCTCGTGGAGGCGTAACGATCGGTCGATAACGCTCCGCGCCTTCCGCGGAGAGGACGAGCGGCACATCGCACACTGTCGGAAGGTAGGGACGCCGCGCGCGTAGTGGCGCCTATCACATGCCGGTTCAGTGTAATTGTGGGGTTTCTCTTTTTTTTTTACATACATATATATATTTATATATATACATTTTCCTTTATTATTCTCTTTTTTGCAATATTTCTTTTATTGCTTTGTATGCGCCTTTACGCTTATTATAATGTTAAATGTTTTAACGCTTGAGAGTGCACAATAAATAAAGCTATCCACATCTCTTTCTCTTTTCCGCGCTCGCGCGTATATGTGTACCGCAACGGCGAGACAAAATATTCGCGCCCCAATCGCTC